TTGGATCTTGTGTTTCATAAAGAGTTACAACTATTAAACATTTTTTATTTTTAATTTAACTCGTTATAAAAACAAAAAGTTCACATAAAGTGAGATGTTATAAATTCCAATAAATTTATTCTTATAAACTACTTTAAAAAAATAAAACTTTATAAATAAAAAATAATATATATTCATATATTAAAAATAAATAGAAGGAATTAGATTGGAGTGGATAAGTTCCGAAAGAACGCACTGCGCCCACAATGCATCTTTGTTGGTTGATAAGAAAGAAGTAATGCAAAGGCAAAAGAAGAAGAATGCATAATAACAGGTTCTTTGTATTCCCTAGTGGCAGGATCCTGTGCCAATTAATATGCCTTCTTTTTTCCTTTTTGAAGCTTAGCCTATGGAATCTAAACTAAATGGACCCCTCTCCATCCTTACCATAAAAAGCAGACCAGCCCAGGATGGGAAATAAGTAAATATAAATTAGTACACATTAATTAAGAAATTAAATATTATATTTTTTAATCAACAAGGCCCATAAGTATACAATCCTAAATTTCATCCATAAGTATATAATACTTTATGTGTACTAAATTATACAATTATGCCAATTTCAACTATTATTCTTTAATTAACAACCATTACTTTTTTTTCTTTAAATTAAATATCACTTTCTAATAAAAATATCACTAATGTTAATACTTTTTTTGAGTAAAAAACGTTAATACTTTAATTAATAACTATATTTTTTATTGTATTCTTTAAAATATATTATTTATTGGCTCAATTGCTCTTTTAGTCTCTATACTTTCATTTACATGTGATTTTGATTTTCTCTAATTTTAATTGCTCATATAAAATTCTCCTAATTTCTTATTTTTTAAATTAAATTTTCACCTCAAAATTTTACTTTAATAATTAATAAAAATATAACATGCATATAATTTATCATTAATTTATTCAAATTTAAAAATAAAAGTATATTTAATAATTAGATAAAAATAAAACTCTTTTATTATTTCATATTCTATTTAAATACTTTAAATTTTTAATAATTTGTAAAAAAAAAATTAATGGTATGTTATACCTCTATTAAATTTTTATTAATTATTAGATAAAATTTTGGATTAAAGAACTTAAAACAATTAAAGAATTAAAGAAATTAAAATATATATATATATAATTAAGTATAAAAATTAAATTTTATTTTTTTTTAAATTCAAATACTGCATAGATACATTTTTAGTGTCTTATTTTTTATATACTTTCATGTCATCTATGTCATGTGAAAAGCCTGAACTCATAATGATAATTGACAAATATATAAGGGTAAAATTTATGTGATTTTTGTACTTTTTATTAATTAAAATAAAATTTTATTTTATAGAAAAATTATATTTAATATTATTCTGAGTTTAAAAAAATTCTTTTATAGAATTTGAAATATTTTGTATTGATCATGGTATAAGAGAAGATGATTTTTGTGTTAATTCTTTACTTAAATTTGATGTATCTAAAATGAATAAATTATGTGTTATGAGACAACATCAATAATATTATTTTAAAAAATTGTAATAGAAAGAAATTATAATTTAAATTGATAAATAACAGTAAAATCATTTAAAAATTATATATAAATTCTGTCAATGGTAATATCTGATCACATCACATCACATCACATCACATACTTGTCTTGGGCCCAATAAGCGTGGGAAATACATGCTAGAGTACGATTTAGACCCAACTTGAAATCGAATCGCAGCAGCTTTTAGTGAATTTTAAAATGTCCCTGCGAAGACTGTTGGTGGCCTCTAACGGTGATAGAAGGCAAAATATAACACAATATTTGTAATAATGGAAACCCGTTATTCTCATATCACACTTAAAAAAAAAAAAAGTAAATACCTAATTTAGGGCATGTTTATTACTATTTTGAAAACAGTTTTTTTTTTTTTAAAATAAATTTTAATACAAATTTATACTAAAATTTATTTTAAAAATGGAAAATTATTTTCAAAACAATAATCAACATGCTCTTAGTTTTTAAACTTTTTTAGAAAAAAAAATCACAATTAAAATATTAATTGGGAGAAAAATGGGAAGAAGAGACCAAGCAATTGAATTTAATTAAATAAACCATTTTGTGGATTATGTCCTAAGCAAAGTAATTTTGAGTCAATGTTACGGAACATAACATGGCCGTAAACTTGTTATTTTGTTTATTACAAATACTATTTTTTCTTTTTTTTTTATTTTTTTTAAAAAATTATACATTGAAGGATGCTCACACAAGAGATGCGAAAAGTATAATTTAAAGTTTTAAAAAAAATTCAATTTTGCCCCTCCACTTCAAATGTACTTATATTAAATGATACAATTTTTCATCACTTATACTCAGAAAAAGTTTAAATTATATTGGTATAAATTACATCAAGAATTACATTATTACTAACTTTATGTAAAATATAAATTTTATTATATAGATTATAATTTTATATTACTTTAATTATTTATTTCAAATTATGTCAAAATTAAATAATTATAGAAGTATAATAAAAAAAATCTTATTTGCATATATTTTAAAAGTAACATTACATTAATTTTAACAAATATAAAAGAGGTATCAAATTATTTTAGAATGATTTAAATTTCTGTACACATGATTTATGTAATAGGACATTTTAAACTTAGAGTTAATTTCATGATAAAATTATCCAATAAAAAGTTGTTAAACAATGTAATTTACACTTAGAATTATACCATCACTAACTTTATGCAAAAAGATTTTTTATTGTTAAATTATAATTATATATTATTTTGATTATTTAAATTAATATTTTTAAAATTAAATAATTATAATAATATAATTAAAAATTATTTTTAAAAAATGTTTTAAAAGTATGTTATTACATTATTTTTCAGATATACATGTGATATTAAATAATTTTGGATTAATCTAAAATTTATAGTTTTCAAGATAAAATTATCAAATAAAAAGTTATAAAATAGTGTAATTTTTTTTTTGTGTGTAACTTATACTGATATAATTTAAGCGTATAAGTCACACAAAGAATTACAAAGTTATTACTTTATATAAAAAGTGAATTTTTTCATCCAATCTTTAAATTATAACTATATATTACTTTAATTATTTAAGTTAAAATTTTTAAAATTAAATAATTATAAGAATATAATAAAGATAACTTTTTTTATATATTTTAAAAGTAAATATAATATTAATTTTAATATATATAAATAATTAAATAATTTTAAATTGATCTAAAATTTATAAACGTGATCTATGTGATAGAATTTTTAATTTAATAGTTAATTTCAAGATAAAGTTATTCAATAAAAAGTTATAAAATCATATTTTATTAACTATAGTGATATATATATATATATATATATATATATATATATATTGAACAAGTTAAACTTATTTTCAACTATTTACCCTTATATGATGATTTTATTATTAAAAATGTCAAAGCATATAACTATATATATATATATATATATATATATATATATATATATATAAAAGTTTATATGTTTCATAACATGAGGTAGAGTTGAATATTTTATTTAAGAACATTTTAACATTTTGTTCTCAAGGCGATAAATATATCATTTTCTAATAAAATGAGTACGCAGTTGAACAGTTAAATAACTTGAGTACATTGGAGGTTGGGGTGAAATGTGTTAAACAAGGATAACTTTATAAGGTCTAATAAGTATAATTTATTTCTCAAATCTATATAATTTAAATTTAAATTATTTATTTAATATAGCGTTTTTTTAAGGGTAGGTCCTAAACATATTTTAAAGTTTATTTAATAATAAAACCTCTTAAATATGTTAAATCTATATAATATTATTAAAGGTTGGATAGGAGAAATGAGAGTGGTGGAGAATGGTATGGTATCTCCGACTCTAAACTTTATTAGCCAGATATGGATGCTCATATCGTTCAGAGGTCCACGGAATTCTATTTTTCAATTGTCTTATAGTGCAGCTGTCAAAGATTCAAAAATTCTTTAAATTAAAAATTGCACTTTCTATTGCACTTCAATTTGTGTTTTTATCATTATTAAAATTAAACTAAAATAAATTAAATTATTCCTATAATAGCTTTTATATAAAAAATATTTTTATATTATATTCATATAAAATATTATTTTCTTAATCTTACCTTAACCTTACCAAAATATTTAATATGTTAAAAAAAATTAGTATGTCCCTTACATTTTATTTAGCCACTCACCTCCTCTTTTCTCAAATGAGTATTTTTTTTATTTATTAAAATCTACTATATTCTTTGTAATTGAAAAAAATTGATATCCTCTTACACATGAAATAATTTTGATTATTAATCTTATATAGAAGATAATGAAGTTAGTAGTTTAGTTGAAAAGATTTTAATACTCTTTTATTTTTAAAATATTAAAAAAATCACACCTGATAACTTAAAGAGAATATAAAATATTTTTTTAAACATTTGGATAGCATGTCAGATACTTTTTTTTTCTTTTACTAATAAAATAATTATTTTTTCACATTTTCACTCATTTAGTTGACGTCCCTCTTCTGTGTTTTTCTTTTTCTAAAAAAAATACTTCAATTTTTTAATTTATTAGTCAATCATCTTTGATTTAAATTAAAAGTTATATTATAAATTATATAAAATAAACAAATAACTAAAAAATTAAATCTAAACCAAACTGCAAAAGATTAGTTTGATTTAATTTAATTTAATTTTGATATTATATTTAAATCAAAACCTAATTAAAACTATCTTCTTCTTTTTTAGTATTTGGTTTGTATGACATACGGAAAAGACGCTTGAAACCAAACCGCAAATACTGGTAATAAAGATGATAAAACAGAATAATCCTCTTATATTTTTCTAGCTCAGTTCCAAAACTTGGGTCCTAAAGTTTTTGAAGAGTGCAAAAGAAGCCTCAAATATAGTTATAGTTTTCTAGCACAGAGACACATATTAACTTGCATTACATGATTGAACATGCATTGGGGTTTTCATCACTGAAGAGGAAGGTGAGTTTCTCATCGAGTGCATTTGGGGTAGGGAATGCTTGCACAGCGTTTTTCACATAACCTGATGGTGCCTTCTTGTCATATGCTTGTGCTACATATGGATAAGCCACCAAATTGTAAGGAATATAGGGCCAAAAATCTGCTCTCTTTCCTGTGCTCTGCACTTTCTTTAAGACCCTGTTTCGGTCAACGTACCCAGTTACAGTCACTTTGCTTTGCTTTCTATTCACCTCCACTTGTTTCACACCTGCATTGTTCTGTAATCATTTAGCCAAGTTATGTAACAAAGTCTGCTCTTTTCAACCAAGAACATTCCCATAAAGCATATGCAAAACTGACCTTCAAATCAATTATGCAATTTTAGAAAAGAAGAGAGGTCAGTAGAAAACTATGGTTGATGATGATTACATACTTGGCTCAAATATATTTAATTGTTGAATTCTTATGACAATCACAATTCCTTTATTGGCCACATTATTATTTAGTAGTTGCTCTATATAAAAGAAAAGTTTATTTTAAAAAATAAAATTAGAAAAGTTCCACTTTTATTGTTCTTTTCAGGTGAAGAGTAAGTGAATCAGAGTCATACAAAAATTGTAGTTTCAATCTTTAGCACGACCTACTTCTTCAATTTCTCACAACCTCTCACATAAGTGTGTGGAACCATATGAAATACCCCGCCCCATATATCACTCGAAATTATGCCACTGATCAGAAACATCGTGTGAGAGCTATCACGAATCTGTGATAGTGTAGCTTTTTATTTAGATTTAGAGATGAAAAGATACAGTTTAGTTTATTCCATTTCTGGCAAGAAAATTGAACGAAGCTTGATGATTGGAATTTTTGTTTACCAGGGTATTTTAGATAGAAATTAAACATGAGAGAATATTAAAGAGAGAGCTTGATGATAACCTTTCATGTGGGCAACAGAATTTCTAACTCTTCTTTCACAGCCATCACAGTCCATTTTCACTTTGATCTCCACGGTCTGTAAGAGAAAGAAGAAACTAAAAAATCAGATTTGCTTGAGAATAGGCACACCCCATATCTGTAACACACTCAAAATAAAGGAAACGGTATTATAAGGAGATTACTGATGCAAACCTGCATTGGTTTGCGTTTCTTTCCTGTGGCTGGGGACACTGAGAAAAAATCTGAAATATAATCAATAACACCCATTTCTTTGGTGGAAGGAGAAGTTGGAGAAGGAGAAGGAAGAACAAAGGATTCTATTTTCTCCAAGACAAAATTTATGGGTGGCAATTTGTATGTCAATAAAGGAAGTGCTTCCCTTATATAGTGAACCAAGTTGTGTGCGCAAATATACTAAAATTTAATGTATAAAATAATGCATATAAAGACTAATGTTGTCCCACAAATACAAATCATGTCTTTCGGGTGTGAAATTGAGCTTGCTATGTGCATTAGGCCGAATACGCGTTCAATTATCATCTGGGCTAGTAAACTATCATTCGGTCTAATTTATGAAAACATATTTAATAACTAATTTGGATATTAATAAAGGTCAATGACAATGCCATTACTTGAGGTTTAAATATCAGAATTCTTGTTGGATGGTGATTTATAACTTTCCTATAAATTTTCACAAATGAGAAGAAGGTATTTTATGTTCTCTTAAATATGAAATAATTATAATCGTTAATTTTATATTAATAGATAGTGAAGTCAATAATTTATTTTTAAAAAATATAAATAATATTTTTTAATTTTTAAAATATTAAAAAATTACAATGCTCAATCTAAAAATGATATATAATATTCTTTTAAGATTAGGAGTAAAGTATCAAGTTCCTTTTCACATTAGTTGATAATGTAGCTTAATAAAACAAGGGCAAGGGCTTCTCGATTTCTTTCTATACACTTTCACTTGTCCAGAAAACACAGAACACTGTTTTTCGTACTCAATATTTTTACAACACTTTTATTAGTAGAAATAAAAAGAGAAGAAAAAAGAATGAGATACTTACGACAACAACTTTCAAGTTTTATTTCACTAAATGAGGTCAATTTTATGAATCATTCAATATGTTAAATATTACAAATAAATTCATCTAAGATTTTTTTAAGTAATCATGTAATTCACTCTCTTATATTTTTAAAATTGTTTTGTATATGACTGAATCATTTTAAATGATTTTTACTCATTTTGTTTAAGTGTTACTCTAATATTCTTTGATACATTATTATATTAAATGTTATTAATAAAAGAAGTTACGAAAAAATAGTATAAATATTTTAAATGAGAATAACATTTCTCAAACTCCAATGTTTAATCTTTACTGCAAGCCGCGGCTGAGCTGTTTTCTTTTGCCCTAAGAAAGAGGAATTGTTGTAAGGTTTCTCCTTACCTTTGATTTTATTAATTATATGCATATGGCCTACATCATTATGCTTTGCACATCTGTATTATAGGGATTTATTTTACTTCAAGCTTCAAAGCCGCGGTTTCTGTTACATTGAATTTAAATTAACAATATATTTTTTAAGAATTTTAGAGGATATTTTTAGTTGTTTTTCTTTTGTGTATTTTTGAGATGAGTATGTAAAAAAGATGAAAATAAGTGAAAGATTGAAAGAACTATAAATAATAGAACTGAATTTAAATCTTGTTTCATATGCTGATTAACATTTATTGAAATAAGCGAACCTATGAGGATACTAATATATTCTGTCTGTTTTAAAATAATATTTATTTTAAAGTTATAATTAAATTTAAATTATTTATATACTTAAGACTTAAAAAAATAATTTATTTTAGTTTTATTCTTGTCGATTGATATCATTATTAAAATAAAAGGTATTTATGGGTAATATCATCAAATGAATTTATGTTTTTTTAAATTAAATCTATTTAACAACTTTACATTTTTTTCCTAAAACGATAAACCTTAATTATATAGAAATATAGGTTTTATCAGTTTATCATATATATATATATATATATGTACGGGTATTTATAGATAAGAAAAATATTAAAAATATAAACTGAAGGTAATTAAGAATAATAAAATTATTTTTATTATAAAAATAAAAATATAAGTACGTAAAATTTTTGAAATTGTAAAAAATTTAATTAACAAAAATCCTTTTTAAGGTGATTTCTAAATATTTCATTATTTTAGTGTACTGAAAAAAATAATTAAATATTAATTAAAAATAAGAATGGTAAATTTTCCTATATTTAATTAAAAGATGTTTATTTTACTTAATATGGCATAAAAATCGAATAAATGTTATAAGTTAGGATAAATATATAATTATACAAGAAGGTGTACGCATAAAATGAGGGCAAATTGATGACTAAAGTCAACGAAAACTTGATGAGAAAGAAATCGTCGTTGTTTTAATTAATAAAGCACGCAATCTTGGATTTTGCTGTGGCTGCCAAGGTGCATAGGAATATTTATAGGATCTGTTTCATGTTTTTTTATTGTTAAATCAAAGTTAGGTATCTTCACCTTTGTCTTTCCATTTTTTTTTTTTGGTTTTATATTATTACTCTTTTTCAAAATTTATTTAGTGTAAAATAAAAAAATTATAAATTGTATTTATATGTATAAAATTTACTGTTTCCTGTAACCATGACGCTTCACATTTATTCAAAACTTGTCCAGCTATCATTACAAAAAATAATACTTCATTTGTATTATCTTAGTCTAATTCTATTTTTCTTTATGACTGCACAAAGCTAAATTGGATATAATTTTTTTTATTATTATACAATATTTTTTTAAATAATTTCTATGATGCTTCTTAAATTAAGAAGACATTTTATATTTTTTTACACTTAAAATAATTATTACTATTAATTTTTTTATATTAACAAAGTGTGATTAGTAATTTTTTAAAATATATATAAATATTTTTTTATCTCTAAAATATTAAAAAAGTCACAACTTTTAATTACTTAATACAAATTTGTTATTCTCCTTGTAAATAAGTTTCAATCATGTTTAATATTCTTGACACTTGGTATATTAATGTATGAAAAACACTAATACTTTTCATACGTGCCAGCTCATCAAATTAACTTTGATCAACCACAGGCAAATAGCTAGATCCAGCAAGACTGAGCCATCTGGTTTTGTTGGTTTTACAGTTCGCTTACGCGCAATTTTAGTTGTAACAACGCGAAAATGCTGGTGTAATGTAAATCCAACAAAAGAATGTTCATTAATCTGTTGCTGTTTAAACCGGGAAAAATTGATCTGATTCCGTAGATGTCTTTGGCTCTAAAATCCAATCTCCAGCTCTTCGCCAATTTATAATTCATATTTAATATAAAATTTACGAAGGGGAAGACACAAGATACTTCGTTTGTGGCAAGAAAGCGCATTGTAACATTTTCTGTCTGTATATCTCTTAATTGCTGACTTATGGTTTGCTACTCAGCCATAAAATAAACTCTTAAATTATTGAGTTGACGGCAATCATATTAATTATTTGAGTGGAAAATAATTGAAGTGAAGTTATATATATATTTTTTTAAATCACAAGTATTTTTTTTATTGTAGATAATTTTGTTGAATCACTGTAGAAATAATATATATATATATATATAATAAATTAATATTAAAATTTTTAAATTCAACTTAATTAAAAGGATAAATATAAATCATTAATTACTTTTAAAGTAGCTTATTTTTAGACACAAAATGCACTCCATCCTGCCCATTTGAGAGACGACTCAATTAGGGGATTGACTGTTCCCAACCGTAATTAATTACCGTAACTTATCCCCTTATTCACAAGCTTTAACCAAACTTACCTACCTACTGTTAATGTAGAATATTGAGTGATTTTTTTTATTTTTATTTCTTCGTAACTAAGAGCATTGTACACTTACCACATCAAAAGTTACATATGAAAAAAAAATTTCAGGAGACATTAATCTCAGTTTTAGGATAACAAGTGATAAATATTATAGTTTTTAAAATATCATATTAGTTTTTGACTTTTTTTTATTTGTTATTATAATTTTTTAAGTTACGCACTATTAACATAAAGTAACTAAATATTGATTAAGTGACATATATGATTTATTGTGTGCCAAAAATAATACTGTATATGATATAGTATATATTTTTATTTTTTTAATTATTGAGATTGTCATTCGTCAAATATTTAAATCCTAAATTCTTAAAATATTTCATCTAATTATCATTTTTTTTTAATTCCTTTTTAACATTACCATTGTTGATTATTGTCTACGTTCTTTATTGAAAATTTCACCATTACAATTGCTATCGCCATCTAATATTTTTCTGACACTTAAGACTTTGATCATTTTCTATATCAACCTTACTAGTTCGTTTCCAAAACATATCCATTCCAACCTTAGCAACATTGATATTTCTAACAACAAACTCAAAGGAACATTATTCACTTTCTATTACCATGCTTGATATTCTCAAAATTTTGAATCTTCTTCCAACGGACTCAAAGGTGACATACCCTCTTCCATTTGGGATTAAATTTTACTCAAAAATCTCTCATTAACTTTAAATTCATTTTTGAGATCTATTCTAAAATTCATTGTCGTCATATCAACTCAATGGAAATGGGTGATTCTTTCAATTCCCAACCATGAAAATTTCAAAGGTATCCATACAATGGAAATAAAATGTTTGACATGAATAAGAAAAAGGATGAGTATATGAAAAGTTTTAAAAAGTAAATACTAAAATGTTTGACATGTAACAATCTTAAGAACTAAAATGAAATAAAAATATATATCATATTGTATATGACGTTATTTTTTACACGTAATCAATTACACATATCATTAAGTAGTAAGTAGAATGACTTTCTTAACTATTCTTGTGTTGAGTTTTTGTTATTTACATTCATTTTTATGATTATATCCATAATGTATGTGTTGGTTTCTTGAAGTAGAAATAATGAGACTGCAAAATTTATTAAAGGAATATAATTTTAAGTTATTTTTAAAGATTAAATAATTTATTAAAAATAAAATAAATAGTACAAAAATTAAAATACATAATATTATAAGAAAAATTTCTAAAAAATAAATAAAAAACAGTTAAAATAATTTACCTTTATTCCTGTATACGATTTTTATTTTTAAATTCTAATAGAATATTTTTATATTTTCTTAATTTTTCGTCGATAAATTATACCTTCCATTAAAAGATAATTTATTAAATTTATTTTTAGGTTTTAAGTTTTTGTGAATTAAAGATGCTAAAGGTTTTAAGCAAATTTTGTACAGTAGCACATATATTTCATTAAAAATTTAAATTAAATAATATAACAAACTAAAAAAAATATTTTCTAATCAAACAGCTTAATTTAATTTAAAAAGCCGACACATTTATTTTCAAATAAATTATAAACTAACTTATTTAGCGTTCTAAATACACTCTAAATAAAATGTAACTGCTAAAATAACAATTAAACCTTAAATATTCAAGAACCAAAGAGGGGTTAATTAGCAAGGTGTAAGCTGAGATTGTTTTAACACGGGTAATTTTCGAAATGAATGAATCAGATTCAGACTTTGGAAAGAGAGAGAGAAAGAGAGATGAAGAAACGCTTACGTCCTCCATGTACGACCCCAACAGTGATTCTTACATGAGAAACAAACCCTAATCCTCACGGCACTTCCACACACAGAAATTGTGAGAAATAATAGCTGCAATTTTCATCCTTCAATCCGCATTTCCTTTTTCATGTGCCTTATTGCTCCACTTACATTGATGGCTCCCCGTTCTTCCACCATATCTAAACCATCACACGCTCACAAACCCAAAAAAAGACAAGATCTTCAGTGACCCATTAACCCAAACAATCTCAAAACCCAGAATTTAATCACACCCACTTCCCAAAATCCTTCCTTTTTGGGAACCCACCACCCCATATGCCCCAACACAACACACACAGTTCCCGTTTTCATCTTCACTGTTACTGCTTCTTCTACTACCATTAATGGGTGTTGAGAAAAAATGGCTCTTCACCCTCTTCACTGCAGCATTTCTCTCCCTCATCATTCTCATGCTCTCTTCCTTCACCTCACCTATGCCTTCTTTTCCCTCTGTCGTGCACCATGGTGTTCACTACCCTCCTTCATTTGCCTATTTCATAGCCGGTGGCAACAAGGACAGTGACCGGATCTTCCGGTTGCTGCTGGCAATCTACCATCCAAGGAACCGGTACTTGCTTCATCTTGGAATGGATGCCAGGGATGAAGAGAGGCAGAGGCTAGTTGCGGCCGTAATGTCGGTGCCGGCGATTCGGGCCTTCGGGAACGTTGACGTGGTGGGGAAGGCTGATTATGTGACCTACTTGGGGTCCTCCAATGTTGCTATCACTCTAAGGGCTGCTTCTGTAATGATGAAATTGGATGGTGGATGGGATTGGTTTGTGACCTTAAGTGCGCGTGATTATCCCCTTGTCACCCAGGATGGTAATGCCTATACGGTAATTTCTGTTTTGGATCATGGATTTTGAACTGTTAATTGTTGTTCTCTGTGTAGTGGCTTGATGATCATGGGATTGGAAAGTTTCCGTAAATTCTTGGTCTTCATTTGTTTTGTTTTGCTTTTCATTTTAGACCCAAATGTGAAAAGACAGCATATGACAAATTGAGAGGACTCAAATAAATGGAAAAGAAGTTTAGGGTTGAAAATGGGGGAGAGGGTCAATTAAGTAATGAGGAAGCAGTGTGGATGTAGAGGTAGTAGGCATGTGTTCAAGGGGGATTGGGGGGGGGGGGGTCCATAGTGGTGGATATGGATTATGGAATAGTCAAAATTAAAAAGTTATTGTCTTTTAAAGAAAAGGCAGATTCTGAGGTAGTTAGAGATTCATTAAATGCAGTCTTTGCAAGAATCGTAACAAATGAACTCAGCTGAAATTCTAGTGATTTGGTTCATTTTACTTGTGAATGATTTTAGGTTATCTTATGCATGTGAAGTTATTTTTACATTTACCTTTGTGAAGTTTATCTTGTTTGATGATGCGCTTCAGTTTCCCACAAAAATCAATATTAACTGAACCTGTCTGAGAAAATGCTTTGTTATCTCTTATTTATTGCTAGATGGAAGAAAATGGTTACTAGGTGGATATGTTATTTGTTCCATAGATGTTTAATTATCATGAATGTTTATGGTTACCATAATTTCTCAAGGGAGAAAGTCATATCTTGCACTTGCATAGTACTTTATTTTCTTCTTATTTGGTCATGATATGATACATTGAAACATTAATCTTGTTATACAAATCTAATAAGAATGTAGGTCCAAATTAATCTTCTTATTTCTTCTTATTTGGTCATGATATCATGAATAATGTCAAATGTGCTCTTATTAACATAACTATTATAGGAAAACTCAGCTGTATGCTATAGTAGATCGCTGTTAGGTAACTCCCATTTGTAATTAGTTATGACATGTTGGTTAGAGACTCATTAATAGTTACTTACAATATATTAGTTAGTTAGGCTGAATTAGTTAGTAGTTTGTAGCAGAAATAAGGCATAATTGCCCCTATAAATAAGAGGGAGGCAGAGAGAGAGAGAGAGAGAGAGAGAGATAGAGAGAGATCAGAAGGTGATTTGTGAAAGGAAATTGGGGCCTTTATGGCACTGAGAGGTGCTGACCCTCGAAGTTCGACAGTGTGTGTTTTGTAGATGGGGTTCATCCCTATTTCATCTTAATAAGATACCTATTTCCTGTCAACTGGTATCAAAGCACCGATCTTGGTACTGTGGTGCAGCCAAAATCTATGGTGAATACAAGGATGGAGTCAAGGATTGAGATCTTGGAGCAAACACTTCAGGAGGTGAATTGCGAAAGAGAGCATCAAGAAAACGTGCAACATGGGCGCTTCCAAAAACTTGAGGATATGATTAAGAATCTTATGGATATGGTAGGAAGATTGTCACAGAGAAAGAAATAAGATTGCAAGTTGGATGTTGATGACGTTTGTTCAAATGTGAATATTGAGTTCTTGAAGATGATTCCAACATTTCATGGAAAGGAGTGGTATTGGTGGCTGATCCAGGTTGAGCAGTATTTTGAAGCTATTGGAATGCACGAGGAAGAGAAGTTATCAAATGCAGCAAAGGCTCTAAGAGGTGATGCTCTCAACTTGTGGCTAACATGGAAATGGTGCAACCAATGTGCAGACTGGTGGACATTTGTGAAGGCACTGATAAAAAGATTCCAGCCTGAGTATGATTTTGATCAACCAGTGTGGGAAGAGGTGCAAGAGCATGGGGAGCCAAGAAATAGAAGCAAAGATGACAATTCTTGGGTGCCAGAAAACAGACCAGAAGATGAAGGCTTAGAGAAAATAGACCCTGCTGCTCAAGCACATGAAATGAACACTAGAAAGCTACGAGAATTGGGGCAAACCCTACATGAAATGAACACTAGAAAGCTACAAAAGGAAAAATGAAGTTCTTGAAATTAAGAATCACAGTGGTATGACAAAGGGAGGGGTCTTTCTCTAGGTTGCGAAGAGGAGACAAAGATTGAGGGAAGCCCTATCTTTTGCATGAGCAGAAAGCCTAGGATTGATCCAATGACAACAATTGAGGGTTTGGGTAGTATGAACATCCCACCACCTCTGCTAAACCCATGTGATTCGTTTTCTTCCATGAAGTGGGGTGGATCAACAGCTGTAATGAAAATTTCTCCTCAAGTGACGCAGACAAGATACTCCTACCTGAACCACCGGATTGTGCTGCATGTGTGGAGGCTGAGGCTACTCTAGTGATGGAGATGAAAGTAGATCAAGTCATCATTCCACAATTTCAGGGCCAAAGCATACCTAGTGAGAAGGGAGCATGGACAAGATTGGAAGTTCCTAAGGTAGGTGGAATTCATTATTCATGAGTTTGAGGCTTAGCAGCCATGTCACTATTGAAATGATCAAGAATTCAACAAATCTTGCCTATGTTGTGTTCTTGTTGGGATGTGTAGGGGAGCAAAATGAAGGTCCAATCAGTGTTGTTAAATGGCAGCCAAGCACCCAGAAACCCTAAGGTTACATCTCTTCTGCCCTCTGTGAGTCAAAAACACGGGTGTTTCTCTTTGTCGCTGTTGTGCCACTGTGGAGCGGCAATCGGCCACATGATGCTTGCTGTGGTGAAGTATTTCTTTATTCGCAGAAGTTAAGCCCTAATTGTAGACAGTGTCTTGGTGTGGGTGTGCACTTTTGAAGTGTAATGGAGAGAGGGTATGTTATCAATTGGTATTAGAGCCTGGGCCGGAGCCGGTGGACCTTATCGGCGTATCCGTGGCGGCTTAAGTGCCTTATCAGTGTGTCCGTAGCGGACTCTCTCGAAGAGGGAGGGGATGATGAGTCCCACACCGGTTGGGGGGAGTGACTTATCAGTCTTTAAATAGTTGTGGCGTCCTTCCTTCTAGCATGAGGCCTTTTCCTAGTATGTCATATCTGAGAAAAACAAAACTGTGAGGGGTTAATCCCTAAAGCGGACAATATCATGCTAACCGGTGGACTGGGTGTATGTTATCAATAGTGTTGTTTAGGTTTTTTTTTCAAGGGCAAAATGGATTTTTCCACTTAAAATTTTTTCCTTCTCTTCTCAAGCGGTAAAAGTTTTAGGGTTCTCTCTGCTCTGTTTTTCTTCCTTCTTCTCTAAAGCCAACTTCTCCTTCATCTCCTTCACCATTTTTGCCAGAGAAGACATCCTTTCCGGCTGTTTTCTGACAACTGTGAGTGGAAGGCCCTGTTTTTCGACATCCATGTTGCTTATCTGGGCTCTGTCCCTCCTTTTTAGTTTTTCCCCCTCCTATTATATTTTTTTTTCAATTCTGTCTTTCTCTCTCCCATTCTGTTTTACTCCCCCATTTTTTTTGTTTTTCCTTATTATTTTGTTTTCTATATTTATTTTTAATTCTCTACTTTTCTGTTATAACTTCAGCTTTTTTTCACTATTTTACAACCATTTTATTCTTTTTTTCTCAAAACCTTCCTTCTTTTTATATGTAGTTAGTTTTCTAGTTTTATATCACATTTTGCAATATATATATATTATGACCGCCATAACCGGCCATGGCATCTGCCATAATTTTATGGCAGTTTTTTTGCTTGCTGCCATGACCTGCCATTCGCCATTGATAACATTGGGTCCAATTAGTATAACAACAGCTAGAGTGGGAAAGGAGTACAGTATAGTTTCTAAGTTTGGCTTAACAATTGATGCTTTTGAAAAAAATTATAGGGATGGGGCAATATTCGAAAGGTGTCACCTCACTAGATTTTGGGCCATAGTTCATTTTTGTGCTTCATGGGGGAACTTATGCTACTGTTGCATCTCTAGCTATGTGGAAAAGAGATAGTCAATTTTTATGCTTTAGACAGTGGGACCCTAGTGGAGTTATGTAATCCTTCACGTTCAGGACAAGGTGAAGCTTTAGGGAGGGGAGTATTGTTAGGTAACTTCCATTTGTAATTAGTTCCGCCATGTTGGTTAGAGACTCATTATTAGTTAGTTACGATATATTAGTTGGTTAGGAGCTGAATTAGTTAGTAGTTTGTAGAAGAAATAAGGCATAATTGCCCCTATAAATAAGAGGGAGGCAGAGAGAGAGAAAGAGAGATCAGAAGGTGTTTTGTGAAAGGAAATTGGGGCCTTTATGGCATTGGGAGGTACTGACCCTCGAAGTTCTGCAGTGTGTGTTTTGTAATTGGGGTTCATCCCTAATTCTTCTTAATAAGATACCTAGTTCCTATCAATTGCAGTCACAAATTATCCCGAACGATCACCTAAGTAAATCACCTGGATCACAGTTAACAGCCTCAACGTCAGTATGACTATCCTTATGTTGGTGAAAAGAAAAACAGAATTTCAACTAGGTGACACAAAATGTAGGTAACCCCATTAGTGGTTAGTAATCATCAGTTTCTTCTCATCCAAACAAATTTCATTCCTCCATGTTACCAGACTTCTTTTGCAGTCATCACATCACAATCCTTGGCTGTATGTAGTCCTCAATAATACATAACAGAATGCCTACCTCAGCCCACTCACTCCCTGCATTGTCTTGGGTCCTGCAGAATTTTTTCCCTCATGCTTACCATCTGCTCTGCGGGTCTGGGACTCATTTTTATTAACCAGGGACCTAACGTAAAATGTCGGCACAGAATTGTTGGATACACACTCCAAATGTGAAATGTACTTCTTTTTTTCTATTAATAAATTGTCCTATGATTGATGCCAGTGATCTCATGCAACCTGTCCCTCATTTAGAGGGCTGGGGGATCCCAAAGTCTTTTTAGGTTAGACTTTATATTATCATTATCCTCTTGATTGGCAAGTGGCAACATTCTATTCTATATATTTGGTTATACATTTTGTCTGGCCTGATATAACCCTGTTGTTTGTAAATGGACTCTGATGCTCCTAAGATGTCAATAAAACTGGGAATCTATGGTTTTTTGCTCTATATTATAGTAGTTCCAATTCAAGAAACTTATTTTATTTTATTTTATTTTGTCTTATAGGTGAAGAAATGTTGTATATATAGTTGTACTTGTACTGAACTTTATTCGCTGAATAATTCTATACTTCTTTTGAGAACAACTGATTTATTTTTGCATTATCAATTATCAATATGATCTTTGACTTCTTTCAGCAGACTTTTCCAACTTACTGATCAGTACTCTTTTATCTGTACCAGATTTGTCACACGTTTTCTCTTCTGTTCGGAGGGACCTCAATTTCATTGATCACACCAGCTATCTTGGGTGGAAAGAGTACTAAAAACTACTGCTAATTCGTGCTGCTACATTGTGCCATTGCGGTACTTTTACATTTAGTTGTAGATCATATAATATTTATGTAATTATTTTCCCATGCAGAAGTGACAGATTTCAGCCTATTGTAGTTGACCCTGGACTATATTTAGCTAGGAGAAGTCAAATTTTTCAAGCTACAGAGAAGCGGCAGACGCCTGATGCATTCAACCTCTTCACAGGCAAATCTATTCTTTCATACGGTGGCTGAGCAACTCAAATCCATGACTTATATAGCTTTATGTTGAATGCTTTCCTTTCCTTGCAGGTTCACCGTGGGTCATCTTGAGCCGATCCTTCCTAGAGTTTTGCATCTTTGGCTGGGATAATTTACCTCGAACACTCCTAATGTATTTTACAAATATTAAGTTGTCACAAGAAGGTTACTTTCACTCAGTCATTTGCAATGCTCCAGAATTCAAGAATACAACTGTAAATGGTGACTTACGATATATGATCTGGGACAATCCTCCAAAAATGGAACCACTCTCCCTAAATGTATCTGTATATGATCAGATGGTAGAAAGTGGAGCTGCTTTTGCTAGACAGTTTGAAGGAGGTGACCCTGTTTTGGACATGATTGATGAAAAAATCCTTCAGCGTAGGCATAATCGAGCTGTGCCAGGGGCATGGTGCTCTGGCCGGAGGAGCTGGTGGGTGGATCCATGCTCACAGTGGGGTGATGTCAATGTTCTGAAGCCAGGTCCTCAGGCTAAGAAGCTTGAGGAGTCTGTTTCAAGCCTTCTTGATGATTGGAGCTCACAGGCGAATCAGTGTCTTGCTGCCAGTGAAGAGACACAAGAATAGAAACATTTAAGGAAGCTGTGCATTGTAGTGCACCCTGATTCATGGACCAGTTAAAGTTGCTATTTACTTAAAGCACATTCTTTGGCCAATGTAATTCAATTTTTGGAAGGGGGTTGATGGGACTCCTCCTTAGTGGCGGTTTTTGCTAGTATATCAGCAGGGTTAAAGTGGGGAAGGGAGGATTGGAGTTTTGAAGGCTTAATATTTCTGGTGGATCCTCTAATGGCTTCAATCCATTTCATTGATTATATTATCATGTTGTATGTACTATATGCTTCTCCATCACCCTCACAGGGATTCTAGACTGTTAGAACAGAAAGTTCATTCTTTATTAGATATGGTTGTCATGTCATTCTCCGTGCTGACTCTTTCCCCTTGCACCTGTTAATATTCTTTTCGGACATTTGTTGTTATCAAAGAAATTATTTATGTTAATAAGTCCGTTTGTGACCTTTCAAATTTTGTCCAGCAAACAACTCACCTGACAATATTCAAGTCCAGTATTTTGGATACAACTATTGCCATTATGGGAATTGAACATTCTTTGGCCATAGCTATTGCTATTTGAATATTCATTTCTTGTCAGTTTATAAAATTTCAAAATCTGTGACATGCCGGATCATACAAAAAGACTACTTGTTTCCATTTTTGTCTACGTTCTCAGGTTAAGCGTGCCGTAAGTGTAGATCAAATGTTTATTATTGTAATAAGTAAAATTAGAAGCTTGATTAACAAGTTAGTTTCTTTTCTATTTTAAATATAATAGTTAGTCAAAAGTTAATAGATAGGTTGCTTAAAATAGAAGTTAGCTAGAATTGGAGGAAAATTCAGATTGTGTAGTAATCAAGAGGGTATAAATAAACAACCTTATGTGCATTTACGAGATTGAATAAAAGTTCAAAGTTATTTCTTCTTGAGCCTTGAGAGCTGAGAGTGAAGTTTCAATTGGGTAATTCTACTCCCAATTGTTACAATTGGTATTAGTGTAGCTTGGTAACGATGGTGACCATGAAGGAGCTTGAGACTCGCATGGATTCTTATGAGAAGACCCTTTTTGATCATCAAGAATCAATGCAAAAAAATGTTAGACTGTTCAAAAATTAATTGAGAGCCTCATAGCGGCAATTGCATTGATGAATGTTGGAAAGAAAATCACAAACATGGAAGATCATCATAGTGAAACTCTAGGAACGGTTCTTTTAGTAGCCAATAGAGCGCATATTCTATTTCTGTCTTTTGATGGCTCTAACTTTTGAGATTGGAAAGCAAAAGTAGAACAATTCTTTGAATTGGATGGTACCCCTGCGAACAAAGGAGTTGTTTGCTATTATTATCAATGGATGGTAAAGCTTTTGCTTGGCAATGGCATTACATGCAGAACATCAATAACAAAGGGAATTCTTGGCAACAAATCATTCACGATACGGGAAGCAGACTTGACATAGGTGCATTCAATGATCAATAGCAGAGCTTGCAAGATTGAAGCAAGATGGACCTTTGATTAATTATTTGGAAAAATATGATACATTGCTAGCCAGGGTATCAATTACAAAAGACTTAGCATTAAGTTTCTTTCTTTTTGGGTTAACCCTTGAGCTTGAGAAATCCGTCAGGATTCATAGGCTAACAACAATCCAAGAAGCCATACGAATTGCAAGATTATAAGAGGAAGTGTTTCAAGAAATGGCAAAGAAGTTCTCACCAGCGAAATCAGCAAGTTCAGTAAGTCAGATATACAAGATCATGGTCTTCTACATATCCACAAATCAGAAGTTATCCAATCACTACTTTACAACAAAATTAATCTCAGAATCCTACAGTCTCACCACGTGCAACAGATTCCAAGGTTTCATCCACAAATCTCATCTTTAGGAAGCAAATTAGTGAATGAATTGCAAAGGGGCTATGTAGATTTTGTGGTGAAAAATGGGATAGGGATCATAAGTAGAGGTATAGAGGGTGGGGTAAATTAACTACTATTGTAAGTGCACAAGATAAAATGACTGCTAAATTTACATCTGAATCTGAGGGGAGTAGGAAACTGAATTGGTAGAACAAAGTTTGGACTTAATTAGGGATGCAAATGTTCGTATATTTGTTAATACATTACAGGGTGTAGCTGGAGGTAACTCTCCAGATGAAAGGGTTAATTAAGAAACAACTAGTGCCATTCTTAATGGACACTAGAAGTACACATAACTTCATTAGTACCAATTGGGTGAAATCACTTGGACTTAAGTCTCAAAGCATAAAATTTTTCCTGATATGATTGCATCTGATAAACAAATGATTATCACTAAAAGTTATACTCAGGTCAAATGGAGGTTTGGTGATTATATTTTTCAAGCTTACTTTTTAGTTTTGCCAAGCAGTACTTTTGGAGTGATACTTGGTATGCAGTGGTTTAAACACATTAGGTGAAATCATCTGGAATTGTGCTCGACTGACAATGAAGTTTCAACATCAAGGAAAACTGGTTTGCTTACAAGGTGAACAACTTTCAACTGAAATCACCGAATTGGAAGGTAAGCTAAAGTGATCATGCGCATCTTGCTATGTTGGCGAGCGCTCTAGAACACTCACTCTCGCCAGCGATAGTGATCACGCACAATGGAACGCTCACTCTTGCCAGCGATAGTGATAACACACACTTTGCTATGTTGAGGAACTCTCTGGAACGCTCACTTTCGCTAGCAAAAGTGACAACGCGCATCTGTACTCTTCTGAGAAACTCTCTGGAATGCTCACTTTCACCAACAATACTGATCACGCCCAGATTTCCCTTCATTTCCAAGCTTTGGAACAATCACTTTCACCAGCGAAAGTGATAACGCCTAACACACTTTCATCAATTCTTGTTCCTTGTCTCCAAATTTGCTACTTTTCTTCTATTTTTCTCTCTTAATCCTCCAACCTTATGATCTCAACTCAGAGTTTCCTGCAAAATAGGTTCTCATCAGTACTTTTTACATAGAAAATTCACAAAATCTAAACAATTAAACTATTTAGAAATGAATTGAACATTCTATTATTTTTATGAGTTTTCTAACTTTTTCCATCATGTTTTTCATATCAAATGTATTAAAAACTACTAGTAAAATATGCATTTATCACCTGTGCAGTATAGGTGGATGTATCCATTTGAGAGATGCATGTTGTACTTGAAAATAAAGGTTCGAAATAAGGCGAGAGTCGAGAGATCTATTTTTGAAGCATATATATTAGAAGAAATTTCAAATTTTGCATCAATATATTTTGATCCACATATACAAACAAGGCGCACTAAAGTTCCACGGAATGATGATGGTAGGGAGGTATTTAAAGACAAATGTCTCTCTATTTTTCAACAACCATTTCGCCCTATTGGAAGAGGTCATAAGAAATTCTTGACTGATAAAGAACTTGAAATTGTAGAGACATACGTGCTTGAAAATTGCACTGAAGTGGAACCCTATCTTTAGTAAGTCCTCTCAATTATTAGTTTGTAAGAAGTTTTTTTATTATATATATATATATATATATATATATATTTACTAACTATTGCTCTAATTATTAGACAATTGGAGGAGTCATTAAGGGAAACAAATCCTAATATCACCGATGATGAAATTTTAAAAGTTCGGGATAAGGAATTCTTTAGCTGGTTAAAAGAACTTGTGAGTACTTCATGTATACGTTATTTTTATAAAGACATCAATAATGTTCTTTCTATTAAAATTTTTATTTCTTTTTTATTCTAAGGTACAATCTGGTGATGTTGAAGACCCAATGATTCGACATTTTATTTATGGTCCTTCTAAGGTTTATGACATCATATAATGGCTTAATAGTTAATGGGTATCAATTTCATACTAAGGAATATGGAGAAAATAAAGTTACCATATGTGTTAGAGGTAGTATATATGGTGAGAATGACCTAGACTACTATGGAATCCTTGAAGATGTATTGGAGTTTTCATATTTAGGATATAAGAACAAACTCTTTCTTTTACAATGTCATTGGTTTGATACAATTGATGGAGTTAAGGTTTGTGAAAGATATAGACTGGTTGATGTTAATTATAGATCGCTGCTTCAATCAAATGAACCATTCATATTAGCTGAGCAAGCACAACAAGTATACTATACGAAATACTAGTAAGTGGAAGTAGAGTTAATGGCCAATGGTGGACAGCTTGTAAGGTTAGAGCAAAAGTCTTCATGGATAAGTCATTTAAGTCTCTTAGTGAAGTATCTATTGAGTTATCTACTTCCGATTATTACCAAGATGATGAATCTCTAGGAGTACATAATATCACTTTAGACAATGAAGTGATTAGGTTACTTGATGCACATAATCCCATGGAAGAAGTGAATTTAGATGAGCTATCTAATTTGAATCATACTCTGTTTGCTGATCAGTTTATTGATGACAATGAAGAAACTGACCATAATGAGTTCTTGGATTCAGACGATGAACTACTTGATTCAAACTCAAGTAGTGATTCTTGAATGTTTGATTTTTCTTGCAAATGGTACTTTATATAATTATTTAACTATTTCAAAGTCATCTTTATTATCATTTTGTGTTTTACCTTATATAATGCATTATATAGATATTTATGCCGATTCAAGGTAGAGACAATCGACGAGCCTGAGGTAAAGGTCGGTCTTCTCAGCCTGTTCATGGTATATCTTATTATACATTGAATAATTAATTCTATATTTCTTTCCACTTAAATGTATTGCATAATATTTTTAATTCTTTTGTAATAAACATGTTAGGTGATGCTTCTCTACTAGCTGTTACCATATCAGCTGTTGCCCCACCAACTATCCCATCAGATGTTGCCAGGCCATGTGATTCTACTACTCCTGTTACTAGTTCTCCATCTCCAGAATTGCAGACTACAAGCACCCACATACCTAATTCAATGATAGGTGGCCTAACTTCAATAGGTTTAACTGAGTTTTATGTAACTAATAGGAGGAAAGTTATATCTGTGGAGGCCATTTCTAATCCGTAAGTAATAGTAATAGTAATATTATAATTTTAATTATGTATCATATTGTTATTTCCTTATATTTCACAACATAAAGGAGACGGTTTGTCTCTCAGGAGGTGACTCGTGGCATTATGTCCTCTGTGCTAGTAAGGATGCCCAGCCTAGCAGAAAGGTGGAAGACTATCCCACTGATATGAAAGATGCATTATTTCAAGAGTTTATGGTAATATCTTAATTGAGTTCTTTATATATGCTTTAAAAGTGAAAGAAATATTAACTCATTCCTTTATTATTGTAGGAAAGATATCAATTTGCATCAAAATATGATAGCAATATGGCAAGACATGTATGGGAGATGACATGCAATGATCGCTATCCAGACATGTTGAAAAAGGCAAGGGCTAAAGCACTAGTGGTTGCAAACTCTAGAAATTTGATTGATGCAAAGGGTCATAGGCCCAAGGGGATAA